TTTATATATATATATCTATATATATATATATATATATATATATATATATATATATAACCTAAACCCTAAATTAGGAACCCTTATATTCTACGGATGATATCATATTTTAATGTTTTTTTGTCAATCTTGAGATTTGTCATCATTATCATGTGTATATATAATTGACAATAGGTGATCCTATGATTTGTGGCACTTCTTAAGTGGATGAAGTGTCCTTCAAATACCGAATCACTTTCAAATTCATATCTAGGCCAACCCATAAGGCTTGATAATGGGATGATTGTAAGAAGTCTCGATATCAAATCACTTTTGAACCCTTATGTAAGCTAATCCATAAGGCTCGATAATATAGACTATAAAAATTTACGTCTAGAATAAAAAATATCAAATTAAAATAATATAGACTATAAAAAATAAAAAAAATTACAAATTACAAATTAATATAAATCACTAAATTATATTTATGAAAGCAAATATTAAAAATAAGTTATTCTATTTTATAATTTTTTATTAAACATTATTTTTATTACTAGTTTAAGGTTTAGAGTTTGACCAATTTTGACTGATTCTACTGTTTTCCTATGATTTGATATAAAATAGTTCTCTGAATCAACCGATCTGATTTTGGACCGATTCTCAGTCCAACCGATCAATTCGTCTCGACTTTCAAAACTATGATATTATGTATTCAGAAAGTCAAAAATAGATAATACGTATGAATATCCACGAAACAAGCAAGAGGCGTTTTATGAATTGGCTTAAAATTTGTGGCCAATCCCCTATGATGCTACATGCATTATTCCAATTCTCACTCCCAGGAATAGCTGTCCAAATTTTCACGCTATATTTAGATAGAAGTTATAAATGAAAGCTATGGTGAATCACTTTGATAGAAAGTCCATAATAGATCATAACCTTAAACAGATATGTTAATCTCATCAACTCATCAGGACTCCTTGATAAAGCTATTCACCAAACAAAAAGGTCAACTCAAACTTGTCCCAAATGTGTTGCCCCGAGAGTAGCAAGGCCATTTTCCCCCTCAATGACTCATAACATCAAACGTCTCTCAGTAGACACTAAAAATTTTCTGCCCAGGGCAATTAAACGAAAGGTATTTAGTGATGAGATATGTGTTTTAAGAATGATTACAAGGCAATTTGCCAACTGAGAATAAGATTCAACAAAGCATAGCATATTTTGAGTCCTTTCAAATTAGTTCAAAGATGTGCCAAAATAGCTTTCCCTTTACCAAAATATTTCACGAAATAAATAACCCAGTGACCCTAATCATTAAATAACACCACTATACCTAACTTTTCTGAACAAGGAACAACTACACCATAAATATACCTTCAAATAACCATGACAGGGTTTCCAAGAAACCAGGATCATCTCAAGGGATTGAGGAAGTAGGTTATTTGTTAGCTAAAAATAAGCTAAACCTCATGTAGAATCTTACTACTCTATTCAGGACAGGAAGAACATTCTTACTGTACACCCGCTCAATTTAAGGTAGTCCAATTTCAATCATCCGAAGGCTATACTGATAAACTCTGCATTCACTCAAGGGTTGGATAGATCTGTTAGGCAGTTTATGGCCGAATAATTCTTGTCAGGCACAGATAATTATACATCCTTTCAAATTTCATTACTTCAATAGAAAGGGCATAAGTTGAGTTAGTCAGCCATTCCTTGATCTCTCCAACTCCAATATACTAAGAGTGCAAGAACCACTCGATTCTAATTCTACTGTATCAATTGCCAGAAGAATTAGGATGTGCTCATTCCAAATCAAAGCAGGGCAAAAAATGACCTGATGATAGCTTGGAGCAAAAATAACCAACATAGAATGCCACGAATTAACTCAAATAACATTACTTTGGGGATTAACCAAGTAGGAATGAAATCATCAATCGTATCTACCTGTCCTCTAATCATGTCCAGTAAACTACCAAGTATCAACTAAGACCCTACTTAGATAAACTTCTCAGTAAATATTTAAAACAAAAGAAAATAAGATAAAATGAATTAAACTCCTCTCATAAGTTAAATTAGCTTATGCAGAAGCTAATTTATAGAACTTTTCTCATTTGGTCCCCTCCAAAAGCTGATATTAACTTATGCATGAACTTCTTTTAACATTCGGACGAAGTTTAATTCATTTTATCTTCTAATTTTCTTTTTCTATAAGTACTTAACAAGAAGTTTATCCAAAACTGACTACACATTTTTTGGGATCAATATTCAAGTATATCATTCTACCAAATATCCAACTCTCCTCACAAATAAATTTAGAATGCCTATACACTAAAACTTGTGAAGTCAAAGCAAATTCATTAATAGAAGCTTTTGTTCCTATTCCAAATTTATGTCTAAAGTAAACCATGACCTTAAAAACGAACAAGACACAAGTTACATGCCCCATCCTAGTAATTGTCACAAAATTTTATTTTATAAAACCCAACATTCCATTGAAATTCTAATTCTCACCCAATAATAACTCCAACCAGCAACAAAACGAAACTAAGCATATACCAGGACCTTTATTAAGCAGAAAAACTAGTTCTTGACAAATTAAAAAAACTCTCATTATTCCACTTTCAGGTCTAATCCACGAGAAACAAGAACACAATACACACCCCGAAGCGAAGTAATCATACACCGGTCTTGATGATGTTCCTCCGCGCCAGGAACCTCGCGATGGGAGGGGTGAGGGCGAGGGTGATGGGAACACGGACGGGGAACAGCGCCTTGTTGCAGAGGATCGCGAGCGTGAAGGCGCCGCCGGCGGAGGCGGCGGGCTGCGGC